CAAGAACACGGTAGGGAAGCAGCCGTCTCTTCATTTTGAATCCTGCTTGAAATCTGCAGTTGGCGTCCTATGACAAGCAGGCTGAGTGTTTTCTAGATCGCCGCTGTCTCCTGGTCCATGCCACTGTGTCCCGCCATCAGCAGGAGGTCAGGGCCTCGTGACGAACAGCAGATCTGAATGTAGTAGCTTTATTGTTACTTACTAGTAGTAAGAATGCTCCTAGTGGCGATGCCAGGAGCCCTTAGTAGCGATGCCCTTGCTCCTAGTAGCTTCTTGTTACTAGTAGTACGGTCAGGAGCCCCTAGTGGCGTCCTTCTCCTAGTAGCGATGTCCTTTGTTCCTAGTAGCGTCCTTGTTACTGTTAGTGATAGAATCCAGAACCATTTATTCCAGTGAGTGGTAGGGGAGAAGTGAGTCCCTCGCTTCAGAAGTGCAAGAATTCAACAACCGGACGTTCCGTGCGAGGACATTCCTGCAAAACGTCTCCACAAAAGGTTCAATCCTGCTTTTCCTCACATTAATTGTCCTCTCAGAAACATGTGACAGTTTTACGGTGCAAAGCTATGTGTGAGCTAATTGGTAAGTAAAGACTGTGTTTTCTGTCCTGTCTTTGCTCTTTCACTCTTCAGCCGCCGGCCAAAAAGAGCATAAAGTGTGAGGAGAACAAAGAAGAGCGTGAACGCCTCAGGACGTGCATGGTGTGGACAAATTGCTCTTGCGTGTTGCACGAAATAGGAAAACCACAGGAATCAGTGTAGGGGAGAAAAAACAGCTTGCTGCTTGAATAGGCTAGACTGACTGAACAGTCTCAGACTCCACTGACTTCTCGTCAGGGGACAACCATGGAGTACCTCACCACTCGACTATCCTGTTCACGTGGATCACCGATAAATGCAAGAGTGGGAAGCAACCTAAGCAAGCAAAAGACATGCGCAAAATAAATACTAAATGCAACACTCTGCATGTTTCTCATGAAGAGCAGACTTGAGCTGTTGGAGGCAACTTCCTGAGCGCGCCTTCCCCTCCACAAGCATTTGCGATATTCGCTTGAGCCGACCTTGGAGAACGAGGTGCATCGTTGACGGTCGAGGTCATGTCAAGCACATTTAGTGCCCAAAGTTCAAGAAAATTGTAGCTTTGTTGTTCCTAGTAGTAAGGCCAGGAGCTCCTAGTAGCGTCCTTGCTACTGTTAGTGCATGTTGGGGATACAAGCACAGTGGTCCAAAGAATTCCAATGGGCTTGACGTCTGACTTGGGAGCGGAGCCCCGCGTATTTCTTCCCAAAGAAGGCAGCATTGCCAGATATGCTAAATTGAGAAACTACATGAAACTACTGTTAACACGCGTGCATCAAAATCCGTGCATCTTAGAGTCGCACAGCTGCCACAAGAAAACACCTGCCCACCATGGCCCACCAATTGCGGCAAGGCACTGATCGCATCGGCTGCCACAATAAGAACTGGCACTGACTCCGTATCCTGCAGGTCCGGCGTCCCCGGCGTTTGGAGTCTGACTCACCCTCTTTGGAAACATCTAGGTGCTACTGGTGCCTACCAAATTCTGGCTGAGCCAAACGTCTTGGGAAACCCAACACCTACTCTGCCTAGGTACTATTTGTTTTCTTTGCGTCCGTTGATCTTCTTTGCGGTGTAGTCTGACCGTTTTCGGGTGTTCATCGCCCATCTTTCTCCGGAGCACCTGGAGCTCAAGTTCCTCAAAGCCCCAGAAGATACTCCGCACCACTTTCCGGATATCCTGCGGTCAATGCGTTGGTGCATCGGCGCATGCATTTCAGACATGATCTTGTGCTACGCCTTGAAGAAAAAACAAACCTTACGAAACACCAAACGTGATTTCTTCAGAGCAAGGCATTGCTCTACTGACTTATGGCAAGATCATGCCCGAGATCTCTTGCCTCCCTCGAACCCACCGGAGAGATTTGGGCAAGTCTACCTGCCTCGATCGACTCCTAAGATTTTGCCTGTGCATGTGCTCTAAATGTGGGACAAGTGAAGGCATCTGCATCTAACCGCTCCGATCTCCTTCAGTTTCTGAAGGTTTTTCTCCAACGTCCAATCCTGAGGCAAGTTGATGGAAAAAGCTGGCACGAAGAAAAAGGCAAACTCATTCTTCAAGTAGCTACGCTCTGCAAAACGCCGCACTATCCACGCTGAGTGAGACTTGATACTAAAGGAAATTACCACATGTGATCTCAACATATTTCAACATCCACACGTTTGAGGCAGTGATGTATCAAGCCATCGACTTCACAGTGAAGCGCTCCACTTTCAGCCAACCACACCAATGCTACAGCAAAGCATCGAAGACATACTGCTTTCTCTTTGCCCTGTTAATCTTTTTGCCATGTAATTCGACCCACCAGCCACTCTTCGATCGAGAATGAGCTTCGAAGCTCACACAAAAAGCACATCGTGGGGAAGGGTTAACTGGCCATTTCCTACTAGGAGCTCCTGGCCTTACTACTAGGAACAAGAAGCTACTAGTAACAAGTGCATCGCTTCTAGTAACAAGTGCCTTACTAGTAGTAACAAGGACGCTACTAGAAGCTCCTGGCCTTACTACTAGCAACAAGAAGCTGCAAGAAGCTACTCCTGGCCTTAATACTAGGAACAAGAAACTGCTTTTCAATGTGTCCAACACTGGTCACGATTGGGTGCTGGTGCTCAGTACTGGGCACCCCTGCGACGTAGTGCGAAGTCTCTTGCAACATCTTCACATCATCCGCGTTCAAGCCCTCAGGAATTTCTTGTTCGGCGACGTTACCATTTCAGACCACACGGCTCAACCCGAGTCAACCCTTAACATCTAACCAGCAATGGCCTCCTAATGGTTTCTTGCTACTAGTAGAAATGCCCTAGCTACTAGTAGCGTCCTTGCTACTAGTAGCAATGCACCTTGTTACTAGCAATGGCCTCCAATAGGAATGGCAGTCTCCGTTTGCCGATCTCTGAGCTCCCAAGCCCAACTCCCACCCAAATTATTGGAGTAGTAATGTTGCATTGCCTGGCACCGGCACCACACTTCAGACTTCATTGTGACCTTCCCTATAAAAGCATGTCGATATTGTAAAAGCAAAAGAGATTCCCTTAGATTTGCTTTAGAACTTTAGATTCCACCAACACAGAAGCAAGTTTAATCCACTCTTCAGCAAACTCTTCAGCAAAGGCAAACCGTTTCATCCGTGTTCAAACAAGCTCTTTGAGGAGCAGACGGTGATATACTCATTGTTCGTGAGGTCAAACGGCAAGCCATTGTCCCCAAAGGACATCCGTCGGGACATCCGCCTGCGGCCCAAATGTGCAACCCAAGGCGGACAACTGACGTACTCGTTACAAGTGCCACGCTAGTAGTAACAAGTGCCGTACTAGTAGGAGCAAGGTTCGCTACTAGGAACAAGAAGCTACTAGGGGCTCCTGGCCTTACTACTAGGAACAAGAAGCTACTCGTTACAAGTGCCACGCTAGTAGTAACAAGTGCCTTACTAGTAGGAGCAAGGTTCGCTACTAGGAACAAGAAGCTACTACGGGCTCCTGGCCTTACTACTAGGAACAAGAAGCTACTCGTTACAAGTGCCACGCTAGTAGTAACAAGTGCCTTACTAGTAGGAGCAAGGTTCGCTACTAGGAACAAGGACGCTACTAGGAACAAATAATTCAAAGTCTTTGGGACAAAGAGCTGAATGAGAAAGAAAAAGAATCCGACAAGTTGCTAAAGTCACTTATCAACGAACCACCATTCCGAACCATCCACCTGCTCCTTCCTCCCATTGTCTGGGAGGCCATCGCTACTAGGTTGGAGGCCATTGCACTTAGGTTCCTTTTGCTACTAGTAGCG